AAGAAAACCAAATTTCCACAATCAAGCTTAAAAAGCACCCCATCAGGAGAAACAATGTTCACTGAGCTATCTACACTGGAAGAGCCAGGATATCGTACTGTACACTGTACTCTATCTAATGCCTCAGGTATGAAAATTCTGAAAAAGAATCTGTGGAAAAAGTTCTGAAACTGTCTCCAAAGAGAAAAGGCAGCACCTTCTAGTGACACATGCTGGAAACCAGAGACTATTTTTGCCTTCACAATTTCTGGAATGATCCCAGCTTTCAGAGATCTGATCAAAGAGGCATGTTTTGGCAAAGCAAGGGACCACAATTTCACGTACATACAGTTTGTAGGCAGCACATTCTGTGTACTACCATACATAAAGCAAAGGGCCCAAGCCTACAGCCCTTATTCATGCAAATAATCTTTACTCACAATTAATACAATTAGACCTGTGACTACAAGCATGAACCTCACAAATGAGCAATCCAACTCCCACATAAACTTACACTGCTCCCACAACCTTCCCCAGAAGCACTTGTTTGTATTCCTTTAAATCATAACAGTTTAGAGTATTTTCGGTGGGGGGTTGTTGGGTGTCAGATAGAGGCAGTTACCTTTTCCTTATGACCTGTGAACTCTTTGCTGCTCCTCCATACTCCCCATGGCCACTTACAGGATTTTATCAGAATAAACTAAGGACTGTATCTTAAAGGGGGTTAACCTCAAAATTTACATTTAAATTTAAAGATCTTACAAATCCTTGTACTAGAAATAGTTTCATTACATATTTAAGTGTCATTAAAGACAGCTTGAATTTAAACATTCCCTTTGCAATGTTTGCAGCATGGTGCATGAAAAGGAGAAAGCGAAACTGTCTAGAAATCAACCATAAACGGAAGTGAAATTGACACCCTTGTTTTCATTGTCAAAACTCAGAAAAATGAAAAAGCAAACAGCATAAATGGTGAGAGGTACTTTGGATTTTAAAGATTCTTTCAGTTCTAACAGTGCTTGAAGCCTGTATGCCTGCGTGCTGTGGGACAAGATAGCCCACTTCTCACTGCAGTGAGATGAAAGAAGGCAGAAAGAGTTGGAACCATCACTTCATTCCTTAGTTCATCAAATCTGAGCACAGTGTTTTACTAATCAACAGGTTTCAGAGTAACAGCCATGTTAGTCTGTGTTCGCAAAAAGAAAAGGAATACTTGTGGCACCTTAGAGACGAACCAATTTATTTGAGCATAAGCTTTGTCAAATGCATGTGGTGAAAATTTCCAGAGGCAGGTATAAATATGCAAGCAAGAATCAGGCTAGGGATAACAAGGTTAGTTCAATCAGGGAGGCTGAGGCCGTCTTCTAGCAGTTGAGGTGTGAACACCAAGGGAGGAGGAAACTGCTTTTGTCCTTGGCGAGCCATTCACAGTCCCTGTTTAATCCTGAGCTGATGGGGTCAAATTTGCAAATGAACTGAAGCTCAGCAAAAAGAAAAGGAGTACTTGTGGCACCTTAGAGACTAACCAATTTATCTGAGCATGAGCTTTCGTGAGCTACAGCTCACTTCATCCAGTTTCTCGTTGAAGTCTGGTCCTGAAGGTTTTTTTGCTGCAGGATGGCCACCTTTACATCTGCCAGTCCTTGCCTACAGACAGCCCGACAACCTGAAGCGAATACTCACCAGCAACCACATACCACACAACAGAACCACTAACCCAGGAACCTATCCTTGCAACAAAGCCCATTGCCAACTGTGCCCACATATCTATTCAGGGGACACCATCACAGGGCCTAATAACATCAGTCACACTATCAGAGGCTCGTTCACCTGCATATCTACCAATGTGATATATGCCATCATGTGCCAGCAATGCCCCTCTGCCATGTACATTGGCCAAACTGGACAGTCTCTACGTAAAAGAATAAATGGACACAAATCAGATTTCAAGAATTATAACATTCATAAACCAGTCGGAGAACACTTCAATCTCTCTGGTCACGCGATTACAGACATGAAAGTTGCGATATTACAACAAGAAAAGGAGTAGTTGTGGCACCTTAGAGACTAAGCAATTTATTTGAGCATGAGCTCATGCTCAAATAAATTGGTTAGTCTCTAAGGTGCCACAAGTACTCCTTTTCTTTTTGCGAATACAGACTAACACGGCTGTTACTCTGAAACCTGATATTACAACAGAAAAACTTCATATCCAGACTCCAGCGAGAGACTGCTGAATTGGAATTGATTTGCAAATTGGATACAATTAACTTAGTCTTGAATAGAGACTGGGAGTGGCTAAGTCATTATGCAAGGAATGGCAATATACAAAAACCTGTAGGGGAACACTTCAATCTCGCTGGACACACAATAGCAGATGTAAAGGTGGCCATCCTGCAGCAAAAAAACCTTCGGGACCAGACTTCAATGAGAAACTGCTGAGCTTCAGTTCATTTGCAAATTTGACCCCATCAGCTCAGGATTAAACAGGGACTGTGAATGGCTCGCCAAGGACAAAAGCAGTTTCCTCCTCCCTTGGTGTTCACACCTCAACTGCTAGAAGACGGCCTCAGCCTCCCTGATTGAACTAACCTTGTTATCCCTAGCCTGATTCTTGCTTGCATATTTATACCTGCCTCTGGAAATTTTCACCACATGCATTTGAGGAAGTGGGTATTCACCCACAAAAGCTTATGCTCAAATAAATTGGTTAGTCTCTACGGTGCCACAAGTACTCCTTTTCTTTTTACTAATCAACATTGGGGCCTCAGGGCGCTCTTGTTGTTTATTTGTTTTGTAATAATGGTACATATGAAGTTCTTTAGATAGTCAAAACACCATGCAAACAAAAAAATTTATAATATAATTTTAACCCAAAGTCCCTCTTAAAAATGTTTCAAGATTATATGTATGGGAGAATGTCTAATGGGCTTGGCCCATTCATAAAGTCTCAGCTCAGTAATGAACAGGCATGTGGCAATAGGTATTAATAAATAACATATGCATTAAACATATCCTTTACCTAATACTGAGCTCAACACTTTCTTCAGAATTGTAGCTCTGAACTTTGATATTTTATATGTCACAACACTAAAGTGCAAAAGCTAACTTTTTTATAGTTGCTAAACCAGTCAGGCTGCTTTGAGTTCAGGATCTTATTTTAAAAGAACTCAAACTGAAGTTCTAGATCCTCTGACTGGAGTTTAATAGATCCTCAGACAGGAACTTATTTTAATAGAACTTAGAGCTAAAGGAGCATAGGGCAACCAAAGAGCACACAGTAAGGAACACTCCTTTAGTACTGCTAGGTGCTAAAGACAGCCTTCTTTCTTCCATTTTTTGACTCCATCTGGAGTCTGCATTACTTTTGTCCCCTCATCCAAGAAAGGAATGAGTGCAGATGGTAGCCTTTCCCCATAGGCAATAACCTCAGAGTATTTCACCTATTGTATGGATTTATTTAATAAGAGGCTTGTCAATTACAAGACTCTTCATTATACAAACGGCAGACCGAGAGCGCTTCGTAAAAAAATTAATGCTCAGCAGCATCTAGGAATCAGTTGCCTGCCGAGCCTGATTTCATCTGATACATGACCCCTTTAGAAAGCACAGAATTTGGCTTTATATACCACCTTTCCTGCTTTGTGTATCCCCCGCGCTTTGCACAGTAGTGCATCAGATTCCTGCTGGCTAAAGAGGCTGCCATTTTACACTTGGCATTCACACAAGGATTTGTTTATAACCGTGTGTTGGGAGGGATGCTGGGCAGGACGTGAGGATTATTCCATGTTCTGAGAAATGCCGCAAGATTTCCTTAGGAAATTATTGTTGCAAATCACCTCTGAATTCAGATGACTGTGGCTCTACTTTTGGAAGTTTACTGTTCCACAAAATTTCTTTTCAAAATAGGGAAACAAAGGCTCAACATTCAAAGCCATCTGATTTCATTGGCACCTATCTCAGTTTTCAAGGAGAGGAAGTGCATCTTACATAAAAAATTCTTACAACCCACCACACTTTAGAATGTAGAGACACGTCTCCCCCACCCCCTCAATTAAGCTATCTAGTCTATCTTCATTCTAAGGCAGCATAGGTCTCTTATTACACATTTATTAATACAAGGGATTCTGCCAACATTTATCTTCAGGAATAAGGGACATGTTATTCGCTTCCAACAAAAAAACAGGTTTCAGAGTAACAGCCGTGTTAGTCTGTATTCGCAAAAAGAAAAGGAGTACTTGTGGCACCTTAGAGACTAACCAAGTACTCCTTTTCTTTTAACAAAAAACCAGTCTCAGGAACTGTTCCTACCTGGTGTAGTTTTGTGCTGTTATTGCCCTGGAGCCAGTCAATATTTGTCTAATACATTCCTTACATTCCTTACCTCTAATCCTCACAAACACAAACAGTGTATATTTTGTTTACAGGTTTCAGAGTAACAGCCCTGTTAGTCTGTATTCCCAAAAAGAAAAGGAGTACTTGTGGCAACTTAGAGACTAACCAATTTATTTGAGCATAAGCTTTCGTGAGCTTTTGCTCAAATAAATTGGCTAGTCTCTAAGGTGCCACAAGTACTCCTTTTCATTTTGTTTACACAAGCTTCTGATAACCTGCTGGGTGTGGGTCACGTAACTCTGTGCATTTTCCATTTAGATACAACCTCTCTAAGCAAATATCTTCTACTAGGCACATGATTCCAGTTTAAGGCCCCTGCACTCTCACCCGTAGCTAAGGAAGGAAAACAGACCATAAATTACAGCTGTTTGGAGGACAGAAGACACTTGGTACAATCAAAGTAAAGTGTGACTGAAAGTGGAATATAAATAGGAATGCACAACTAAAGCCCTTAAATAGTCTCTTGTCTATGTTATAACACAATTTTAAATCCTTTTCACAATTTGCTTAAAACGTGACTTTTTCCTTTATCCATGACCCAGTTAGTTTCAATCAGCTTGAGGTCTCAGCACACAACATGTCCTCCAGTCACAGACTGCCCACTATAAACTGACTCCACAACTTACTGTTTTATGCTCGGGTTGTCTGGCGGCTGAGGCTGGATTCAGGGGGCTTGGCTGCTGCTGAAAAGACTTGGCTGCCAGACTGTTAGTGCTGGAGAGAAAAGCTCAGTCATGGTTTTGGAATGCTTACTTACTCCTAAGACACTACAAAGCTATTCCTCCTTCCCACCCCCCTAACATCAGTGTTTAAAAACCACCTCAGTAGTAAGCAAGGAGCACTTTTTAGAACGCAGAGTTGCTGTTCAGAAAATATGGAAATGCAGTTTGTTAGCACTGGGACACTGCTCCTTTAACAGGAAAATGACCAGAGGAGCACGCACGCACACACACAGCAAGTCAAATAGTGGGGGCATGGGGGAACCTCCACCATTTCAGTCAGCTTGGTTCAAACAAACTTCTTCTAGCATCAGCTGTAGGTGTTCTCCAGTTGACAGTGACACAGGAGACCAAGCAGCGAGCACTCCTACGCTGATTAACAAGTCACACTCTTGCTACACTCAGACAGTAGTGGCCTCTGCACACAGCTCCTCAGGGGAAGTGGGTGTACATATGCAAGAGACGGTCACGGAAAGGCTAGCCAGGATGTTTGCTCAGCTCAGCTGGCTGTTCTCCCCCCACCCACAAGTCTCTCAGTGTAGCCCAGGCCCCCACCCATCCCCAGTTACTCAGCACACCCCCAAAGGAAGGGACGAACCAGCCAGGGAAGTGTTTCCTAACCGCCCTCCCTGCACCAGCTGCTGGGCTGAGACAAAGCTCAACCCAAGCAGGGCTTTGCAGGGCAGGGCAGGGCAGGGCAGGGCGGGGGGATGACCCCCAAGAGAAGGGGACACAAAGGGGTAAATGAACCCCTCCCTCCAGAACAGGATAGGGGAGAGAAGGCTTTTCCCCCACACCTCACTGCTAGAACCCCACTGCACACCCACCCAACTACCCCCACCCACCCCTGTTCACCCCTACGCCAACCCCACTGACCCCCACACCCCCCAGAACAGCCCTGCCACTCCCAACTTCCTAGGGCCCCATCTCACCCCTGAAGCTCCCATAACCAAGTCATGCCCCAACTCCCCACTATGTCCCCTCTTAGCCCCCAACCCACACACGTCCCCACAACCTCCTCACCCCCAATACCCATCATAACACCACCTCACACACAGCCCCCACCCTGAGTGCTCCCCCCACCAGCCTCTACCCACATACCCCCTGACCCCATAGACCCCCTCTGACCCCACCAGCCTCTACCCACATACCCCCTGACCCCAGACCCCATAGACCCCCTCCGACCCCACCAGCCTCTACCCACATAACCCCTGACCCCAGACCCCATAGACCCCCTCTGACCCCACCAGCCTCTACCCACATACCCCCCCACCACAGACCCCATAGACCCCCTCTGACCCCACCAGCCTCTACCCACATACCCCCCCACCGCAGACCCCATAGACCCCCTCTGACCCCACCAGCCTCTACCCACATACCCCCCTGACCACAGACCCCATAGACCACCTCTGACCCCACCAGCCTCTACCCACATACCCCCTGACCCCAGACCCCATAGACCCCCTCTGACCCCACCAGCCTCTACCCACATACCCCCCCGACCACAGACCCCATAGACCCCCTCTGACCCCACCAGCCTCTACCCACATACCCCCTGACCCCAGACACCCCCTCTGACCCCACCAGCCTCTACCCACATACCCCCCTGACCACAGACCCCATAGACCCCCTCTGACCACACCAGCCTCTACCCACATACCCCCTGACCCCAGACACCCCCTCTGACCCCACCAGCCTCTACCCACATACCCCCCCTGACCACAGACCCCATAGACCACCTCTGACCCCACCAGCCTCTACCCACATACCCCCTGACCCCAGACCCCATAGACCCCCTCTGACCCCACCAGCCTCTACCCACATACCCCCTGACCCCAGACCCCATAGACCCCCTCTGACCCCACCAGCCTCTGCCCACATACCCCCTGACCCCAGACCCCATAGACCCCCTCTGACCCCACCAGCCTCTACCCACATACCCCCTGACCCCAGACCCCATAGACCCCCTCTGACCCCACCAGCCTCTACCCACATACCCCCTGACCCCAGACCCCATAGACCCCCTCTGACCCCACCAGCCTCTACCCACATACCCCCTGACCCCAGACCCCATAGACCCCTCTGACCCCACCAGCCTCTACCCACATACCCCCTGACCCCAGACCCCATAGACCCCCTCTGACCCCACCAGCCTCTACCCACATACCCCCTGACCCCAGACCCCATAGACCCCCTCTGACCCCACCAGCCTCTGCCCACATACCCCCCCTGACCCCAGACCCCATAGACCCCCTCTGACCCCACCAGCCTCTACCCACATACCCCCTGACCCCAGACCCCATAGACCCCCTCTGACCCCACCAGCCTCTACCCACATACCCCCTGACCCCAGACCCCATAGACCCCCTCTGACCCCACCAGCCTCTACCCACATACCCCCCTGACCCCAGACACCCCCTCTGACCCCACCAGCCTCTACCCACATACCCCCTGACCACAGACCCCATAGACCCCCTCTGACCACACCAGCCTCTACCCACATACCCCCTGACCCCAGACCCCATAGACCCCCTCTGACCCCACCAGCCTCTACCCACATACCCCCTGACCCCAGACCCCATAGACCCCCTCTGACCCCACCAGCCTCTACCCACATACCCCCCTGACCCCAGACCCCATAGACCCCTCTGACCCCACCAGCCTCTACCCACATACCCCCTGACCCCAGACCCCATAGACCCCCTCTGACCCCACCAGCCTCTACCCACATACCCCCTGACCCCAGACCCCATAGACCCCCTCTGACCCCACCAGCCTCTGCCCACATACCCCCCTGACCCCAGACCCCATAGACCCCCTCTGACCCCACCAGCCTCTACCCACATACCCCCTGACCCCAGACCCCATAGACCCCCTCTGACCCCACCAGCCTCTACCCACATACCCCCCCACCCGCCTCTACCCATATCTCCCCCCGGGCCGCCCGGTACCTCGGCCGCGGGGCTCTCGCTGGCTCGGGCTGCTCGGGCTCCGCGGCGAGCGGGACTGAGCCGGGCAGGGCGGGGCCGCGCGGGACTGACAGCGCCGGGCCGCCCCCCCCCGCCGGGCCTGCTGCGGCCGCCACCGCCCCGGGGGCGGGGCGTATGGGGCGGGGTATGGCACGGGGAGGGGGATGGCACAGGGGGGATGGGGGAGGGGGGATGGCTCGGGGCGTATGGGGGTGGGGGATGGCACAGGGCGTATAGAGGTGGGGGGTGGCACAGGGTGTATGGGGGAGGGGGGATGGCACAGGGAGGGGGGATGGCACGGGGCGTATGGAGGTGGGGGATGGCACAGGGTGTATGGGGGAGGGGGGTGGACAGGGAGGGGGGATGGAGGGGGTATGGAGGTGGGGGATGGCAAGGGAGGGGGGATGGCAGGGGCGTATGGAGGTGGGGGGATGGCAAGGGTGTATGGGGAGGGGGGATGGCTCGGGGTGTATGGAGGTGGGGGATGGATGGGGAGGGGGATGGCACAGGGCGTATAGAGGTGGGGGATGGCACAGGGTGTATGGGGGAGGGGGATGGCATGGTGAGGGGGGATGGCAGGGGCGTATGGAGGTGGGGGATGGCACAGGGTGTATGGGGGGGGGGGATGGCACAGGGAGGGGGGATGGCTCGGGGTGTATGGAGGTGGGGGATGGCATGGGGAGGGGGGATGGCACAGGGCGATAGAGGTGGGGGATGGCACAGGGTGTATGGGGGAGGGGGGTGGCACAGGGAGGGGGGATGGCACGGGGCGTATGGAGGTGGGGGATGGCACAGGGGGATGGGGGAGGGGGGATGGCTCGGGGGTATGGGGGTGGGGGATGGATGGGGAGGGGGGATGGCAGGGGCGTATAGAGGTGGGGGGATGGCACAGGGTGGGGGAGGGGGGGCACAGGGAGGGGGGATGGCACGGGGCGTATGGAGGTGGGGGAGGCAAGGGTGTAGGGGAGGGGGGTGGCACAGGGTGTATGGGGGGGGGGGGGATGGCACAGGGAGGGGGATGGCACGGGGCGTATGGAGGTGGGGGATGGCACAGGGTGTATGGGGAGGGGGGATGGCTCGGGGTGTATGGAGGTGGGGGATGGCATGGGGAGGGGGGATGGCACAGGGCGTATAGAGGTGGGGGGTGGCACAGGGTGTATGGGGGAGGGGGGATGGCACAGGGAGGGGGGATGGCACGGGGCGTATGGAGGTGGGGGATGGCACAGGGTGTATGGGGAGGGGGGATGGCACAGGGAGGGGGGATGGCACGGGGCGTATGGAGGTGGGGGATGGCACAGGGTGTATGGGGGGGGGGGGTGGCACAGGGAGGGGGGATGGCACGGGGCGTATGGAGGTGGGGGATGGCACAGGGTGTATGGGGGAGGGGGGATGGCACAGGGAGGGGGGATGGCACGGGGCGTATGGAGGTGGGGGGATGGCACAGGGTGTATGGGGGAGGGGGGTGGAGGGGGGGGGATGGCACGGGGCGTATGGAGGTGGGGGGGCAGAGGGGGGGGGATGGCACGGGGCGTATGGAGGTGGGGGGATGGCACAGGGTGTATGGGGAGGGGGGATGGCTCGGGGTGTATGGGGGAGGGGGGTGGCACAGGGAGGGGGGATGGCACGGGGCGTATGGAGGTGGGGGATGGCACAGGGTGTATGGGGAGGGGGGATGGCACAGGGAGGGGGGATGGCACGGGGCGTATGGAGGTGGGGGGATGGCACAGGGTGTATGGGGAGGGGGATGGCTCGGGGTGTATGGAGGTGGGGGATGGCATGGGGAGGGGGGATGGCACAGGGCGTATAGAGGTGGGGGATGGCACAGGGTGTATGGGGGAGGGGGATGGCACAGGGAGGGGGGATGGCACGGGGCGTATGGAGGTGGGGGGATGGCACAGGGTGTATGGGGAGGGGGGATGGCACAGGGAGGGGGGATGGCACGGGGCGTATGGAGGTGGGGGGATGGCACAGGGTGTATGGGGGAGGGGGATGGCACAGGGAGGGGGGATGGCACAGGGCGTATAGAGGTGGGGGATGGCAAGGGTGTATGGGGGAGGGGGTGGCACAGGGAGGGGGGATGGCACGGGGCGTATGGAGGTGGGGGATGGCACAGGGTGTATGGGGAGGGGGGATGGCACAGGGAGGGGGATGGCACGGGGCGTATGGAGGTGGGGGATGGCACAGGGTGTATGGGGAGGGGGATGGCATGGGGAGGGGGGATGGCACAGGGCGTATAGAGGTGGGGGATGGCATGGGGAGGGGGATGGCACAGGGCGTATAGAGGTGGGGGATGGCACAGGGTGTATGGGGAGGGGGGATGGCATGGGGAGGGGGGATGGCACAGGGCGTATAGAGGTGGGGGATGGCATGGGGAGGGGGGATGGCACAGGGCGTATAGAGGTGGGGGATGGTACAGGGTGTATGGGGGAGGGGGATGGCACAGGGAGGGGGGATGGCACGGGGCGTATGGAGGTGGGGGATGGCACAGGGTGTATGGGGGGGGGGATGGCACAGGGAGGGGGGATGGCTCGGGGCGTATGGAAGTGGGGGATGGCACAGGGTGTATGGGGGAGGGGGGATGGCACAGGGGGGGGGATGGCAGGGGCGTATGGAGGTGGGGATTACACAGGGTGTATGGGGAGGGGGATGGCATGGGGAGGGGGGATGGCACAGGGTGTATAGAGGTGGGGGATGGCATGGGGGGGGGGATGGCAAGGGCGTATAGAGGTGGGGGGGGGTACAGGGTGTATGGGGGAGGGGGGATGGCACAGGGAGGGGGGATGGCACGGGGCGTATGGAGGTGGGGGATGGCACAGGGTGTATGGGGAGGGGGGATGGCACAGGGAGGGGGGATGGCTCGGGGCGTATGGAAGTGGGGGATGGCACAGGGTGTATGGGGAGGGGGGATGGCACAGGGAGGGGGGATGGCTCGGGGCGTATGGAGGTGGGGATGGCACAGGGTGTATGGGGGGATGGCTCGGGGCGTATGGAGGAGGGGAGGGGGATGGCACAAGGTGGAGGATGGGGAGGGAGATGACATGGGGGAGGGGGATGGGGAGGAGGTGCAGAGGCAGGGGCTGACACAGGGTGTTGGCAGCAGGAGCTGGGAGATTAGGTACAGGCCTGGAAATGGGGAGAGGGGCTGGAGGTAGAGACTGGGACCTGGGGGCTGGTACAGGGTCAGAGGGGAAGTGCAAAAGGAGCTGTAGGAACAAGAATCCCCCCCCCCCCCCCCCCCCACCGCACACACACAAACTGGTGCTCACTCCTGCCACCTCCCTGGACCCCCGCAGCTCTAGGGGATCTCTGGGGACCAACCTCTGTATGGGGAATTGTCAATGAAGCTTTAACTCCCCACGTCCAACCCCAGAACCTGGCAGCTTGTGTGGTGCACTGCTGCCCTGCTCATCTAGGAGTGTGTTACCCAAGTGTTAGTGACTCCAGCATTCACCAGCTAGGGGAGAATCTTTAAAATACCCTTTGAACTGGAGACAGGTGAAACTGGAGGAGCGCTGGTCCAGGCTTGTAAAACCCCGTGGGTTGGGTTTTCATTCTGCAGAACCTTGGGGTTTGGGATCCCTGTCCCAATTGCACATCTGGAGAGCTCCAATAAGGGGTTCTAGCTGCACCCAGCTCCCGGCGAACAAAGGATTTCCCCTATCTGTGGATTGCACCAGCAGGAAAAATACCCCTCCTGTGTAATTGGGTACTCAGAAATTAGAGCTAGGATGTCACTTAATGGGATAGGGTTGGAATTAGCATGAGGGGCTGATCTTAACATCTCACTGACTATTTCCTCTGTTCCCAGGGAATGCACTTGCTGCTACTTCCCTTCACAGTGAACTTTTCCCATGTTCTAAATTATTATTTAATTGCCGTCTTAATAACAGGCCTCCAAAAACCAAAAACCTTCCAAAAAGCATATCTGGGCCAACACTTTTCAATAGGAAAGATGCAGTTCTGTTCCTTTCTCCTTAATCCCCCACCCCCCAACACACATACCTCCTCATTAATACTTTCAAGCCTTGGCATTTTGGCAAGGTATAGCAGCAGGCCAAGACACAGGATAGATGTGGGTTTTGGTAGAGGCTTGTGTATTTATAAATCGCTCCAACTCCTCAGCCCGAAACAGCTGCTCTGTTCACCAGTTTCAGTTCGCAGTGCCCAATGCCCATCTTGGAAAGGGTTTTTCTAAGTAGGCAACATTAGCTGCAGCAGCTTCCCGAAGCCAGGATGGCAAATGCCTGTTTTCTAGCCTGACAGAAACCCCTCAGCAACCTTGTCATCCTCTGCACGGTCTGGCATGGAAGGGTTGTGCCCAAGCAGCTGAACTCACACGCAGAATGGTTACTGGAGCATTTTGTGCACACGGCAGGTGAAACCAGACAATCACGACGCTCGTGAATGAGCTCACACAGGAAAATGATACAGGACAAAAACACCCTGTCACCTGTGGATGAACACTTTTCACAATGCACTCACTCTCTGACCAATCAGCCCTCATCCTCAAAGGAAACTGGTGTAATGTTTTCAAAAATGAGCTCAGGAGTTTAAATTCATAACTTTGCTAGACACTAAAAATCCTGGTCTTAATAAAGACACGGGATTTATGGTTTATTACAACAATCGGTAACCCACAACCCTTCCTTTTTGCCCCAGGACTGCAGAGGTGTTAACGGGCCATTCTACCTTGAATGGTCCCTTACAATATATGCTAACTACTGGGGCTAAACAATCTGTGCCACCCAGCATTTAGCTGGGATGCTGGAAGTACCTTTTCCAGGCCTGACAACCAGAGCTCTGTGGCAATGTCAACAGTGGCAATTAAAGGACAAAACTTTTCTCTTTCGGAGGCGTTAACCCCTCCTGCCCCAGAAACAAAAAGTTTTGCCGGGGCCCGTGCCAGTGCAAAACGCCACTTGTTGGGAGTGGAAGTTTTTCGTGGGCAGCAGAGCCAACGATCAGCGGCTAGGCTGCGCGACTTTTAGCGGCACGGGTGTGGCGACAGAACCATATTGCTCAAAGCTGTGAGTGTCGACAGAGCCTGTGTGGCTCAAAAGCTCATCTCTCACCCACAGAAGTGGTCCAGTAAAAATATTGTCTTAGCT